CCACACGTTTTAGACAAATATGGAGATAGATGCTAAAATCACAGCACGGAGACCTTAGATGTTCCAGACCGTCTCCGTGTTTTGCTAAAATCCTCTAATTATCAGAACCACTAAAGTCGCAATTGAGCAGAGTTTCCGTCCTACACCTGCACCCAAAATATCAATCACCAAAAGATATATCAAAAGTTACACTCAGAATACAGTACCAATTCTCAATGTAAAAATGCCCCGTACAGAATTTGATATTTCTGGTATTTCAATCATTTCTTGGATTGGAACGCACAAAAGCTTAAAGATTATTCCTTGTTTTCTATTTCATTTTCCTCAAGTGTGCAAAGGATAAGCTAACATCAAGTACACAAACCAAGAGAGAAATACCGTGAATAAGCTAAACTCGAAGCAGGAATATGTAGAACCGGGTTTATACGTATATGGTGCTACCATAACATGTAAGAAAGTTTTTACCTTTTGGAGACCATGGTGGCAACTAGATAATTCTTGTCATAGAAATGGCGTTCGCTTTTCTGACGGCTTTAGAATTTGAAATGAGCACATCAGGCTCTCATCAATGCTCATCATTGCACCAGCGTTGTCGAATTCCCCGCAATAGTTGGGAGCTGAAAATACCGTAACAAGCTGTCTTTCTGCAAAGAACTCGTACCCATCTTCAACAACCTAAGAATCAAAAGTCAAAAACACTAAGATTAAGCTTGCACAATTCTGGATAAGAACATGATAGAGATAACTTTAGTTAAAACCTGGTGGGCACGACAGATAAGGTCCATGTCATTTTTTTCCAAAAACTCTGCAACTTTGTCAGCTCCAAAAGTGTATGAAACACCACGATCATTCATTCCCCAGCCTTTGACGTCTCCACTAGGATCCGACCATAGTAAATCACATACCAAACCCGAGTCAGGAATATCCATCGGGCGTGGAATATTCCTGATTTGGTCCAAACTTGTCAACTCTGGGGAAATCCCACCATGCATACAGAGTATTCTGTCATCAATTAAGGCGGCCACAGGAAGACAGTTAAAGCAATCAGTGAATATTTTCCAGAGTCTGACATTGAACCTGCGTTTGCACTCATCATAGAAACCATAAATACGATTTATGGAGGCACATTCATGGTTTCCTCTCAACAAGAAGAAGTTCTCAGGGTACTTGATTTTGTAAGCTAGGAGAAGGCATATTGTTTCCAAGCTTTGCTTCCCACGGTCTACGTAATCACCTAAGAACAAATAATTGGCTTCGGGAGGGAAGCCTCCATACTCAAAAAGCCTCAATAGATCTGAATACTGCCCATGAATATCACCTGTAAAAGTAAGAGACCACCAAAAAAAAAAAGACAAGAATGAATTATTACATCTAAGAAACAACTAAGAGAAAACATGGCATATGAAGGAGAAGCTATGCAGGGAAAATAAACATAAAACTGAAAACTTTTCCTTTCACTTGAATTTTTATTTTATTTTCAACTTCCATAAAAGAACGGCAAATAAACCCCCATGAGCTTGGTCAAGTTTTTGCAGGATACGACTTAACTAGTCAACATTAACATAAAAGAGTCAAACCTCATAAGAACATGTCCAAGCTCTTAATCCCTATGTCAGATTTCCATTATAAAAGAATCCCAACATGTCTAAGACTTGCAGTATGAAAATTTCCAACTTTTTTATCATGCATCCCCTAGATTTCATCGCTGTGAGCTCAAAGAGCATCAATCGTCGCAAACCACTAAAATATCAATTTATTGAGTCCCTTTATTGGCCCAAAACAACAACATTGATGCTCGAACTTACATTAGTGTAACCTAATCACAACTTAAGAGCTCAAAGACTCTCTCTTTCGACAAATCTACGAGTGATTAAACTAAAAAGATACCTAATCTCTACAACATGCACTAAATTCGGAACCAAAATCAACATACTTCAATCATCTCGCGACTAGAAACCAATCAAAAACAGAGAGAGAACTAAAACCAGAAAACCCCTCAGAGAAACACTTAATCGAACAAAGTGAAGAGAAACCTAACCGCAGATCTTGATGGGAGCTTCAAGTTCGAGGAGATTAGGTTGTTGAAGAAAGATTTCTTTAGAGACAGCACAGAGCTGACGGATTTCACCTTCGCTGAGGTGAACTTGCTTCCCCGATCCAGGCCTCGTGCTCCTAAATTCAACCAAACGGCGAATAATATCGTCTAGAACCGCCGGTTCCATC